AAAAAAAAAAAACAGGAAAAAACGAGAATTTAAACTAATATTAGCAGAAGAAAAGTGGTTCTGTAAAAGGATATAGTTGAAAAAACAGCACAGTTTAAACTGATTGTCTGTTAAACCACTGTCTGATGACACCTTTACTGACATTTTTTTCAACAAATTGTGTGCAAAGCTAATAATATATTCAACAAATTTTAAATAAAAATTTTTTGTAAAATTTTTTAATTTTAAATTTTCTGAAAGCTTTTTTTTGAGATTTCTTTCTCGTTCTTTCGTTCTTTCTGTTTTTTTTTATATGTGTTTCACTATCAAATGGGTTCATTTAAAAGCTGTAGCTGTGTACAAAGAAAAATTTAAACTTTTTATAGTTAGATAAATATATGCTTGTTCTGTTTCACCTCTTTTTTTTTGGAAAGTATTTTTACTGTATTTTCTGTTTGCTATAAATTAGCTGTTTGAAAGACAGTGGCTATTGCTGATGTGAACGGCTACTTCAAAATGGTAGACTTCTGCAACATTAACGCATCAAAAAGCTGTAAAATTTTTGCACTTAAAATACTCGTATTTTTTAAATAAAATTTATTTATTCTCTAAATTTCTAAAACGTATTTAATTTAACATTAAAATGTTTGAAGTTTAGTTAACAATTTAACATTGTCAGCAGAAATCTGAACGATTAAAACTGAACGAAGAAAAGCAAAACGTATAGAAGGTGTTCTGACACCTTTATAAATAGCTTTTAGTGACAGTTTTAAGAAAGATTCTCTAAAACTACATTAATTTTTGAGAAATTATTGAAACATATGAATCACACTGCGTAAATATCGCTATATTTTAGCATGTTTTAACCTCTTTGTTCAAATTAGTTGTTTTCTTATAATTCTGAGAAAAAAAAAAGTCTATCTCATTTTGGCAGTCAAACAAATAAGTACCAAATCTGTAAGATCATCTCATTTTTTTTCTTTGCTAAGACATTAACAATTGTTAACTGTCTCATCGCTTAATCCCAAAAATTTTTGCTGATTATTTAAGTCTAGATGCTGTGTACAGATGGTATTTTTCTTCTATGAAATTCTCTTGGTATTCTTTCTTTTGCTTATTGTTTTCTGTAAATGAGTACTGGTCGACTAAAAGGAATAACGCTATGCGTGTTTCAGTGCATATTACTTTTTTAACACTTTTAGATGGCTTTTTTCAAATGACTGTCTAATATTAAAGAAAAAAAAAAGAGATGTACCAAGGTACATTTGAAACAGTGAGAAGCGCACGGAGTTGTAATTGTTATCAAAATTTCAGTATTTTATATACTATAGGTGTTTAATTTTAGGTTTATCCGCCTGGTCTTGACGGTTCACTGAAATACTATGTACATCTTGAAACACGAATTGGAATACACGGTAAACCGGAAAAATGTGTTAACGCCGATGCGGACGGTTGTGGCGGTATTGGTTCCTGGTCAGATAATGTTTTGAAAGAGTTGTCAAAAATTGATATACCAAATGATGATGAGCAAAAAAAAAATGTGCACTCTAAAAATATGACAGAGCTTATTTAGAACAGTGATAAGTTGCTGAAGAAAAGACAGATAAAAGAACATTGCTTTTGGTTTTTTCTTTTCTTTTTTGTTTGATTTTATCTATCATTATTGATTTCGACAGTTTCAACTATTTATGGTTCCACAATCTGATTATCACTGAACTCTATTCTTTCTTCGTAATCAAATTTGTTAAACAGACGTTGCAGCACTTTTTTTTTATTCATAAAATTTGCCTCTAAATATCAAAAGTATAAAATTGAATTTACAAAAAAAGAAACTCTATTTTTCTTTTTGAAGGAATTGGTTTGAACGCTGTTTCAAAGAAACACTATTCTTTAACTTAGTCATTTTTTTTTTTGGTTTTATTAAAAACATTTTATATCAGAAAAAAAAATATTAACTGAATCAGTTGCTATTTGCAGCGTACACTGCGATATCTGTAAAAATATGGGAGGTAATCTGAAAAACTTTGTGCAAATATATCAAAAAGATCAACCAGCCAAATGCAGTAGCGAAGGTCTTCCACCAGGAACCTACGATGATCTGTCGTTGAAAGTTTGCCTACCAACAAAAAGCGAACTATTACCCTTCTTAGATCAGGTTAAAAATCAAAAATAATCTTTGATTTGGTCTTTTTTTCATTTTTTTCATTTTTTTTTTTTTCAGTTGAATTTCTTTTGAAAATTGAGAAGTTTGTAAATAAGAGTTTGCAAAACACAAAAAAAAGAACCATAGAATAAATGTTCTTTTTTTTTCTGCTTTATTAGTGGTCTTAAAATTTAAAACTGTGGCAACGTTCTTTGAAATTAAAAGCAAAAAAAATAGCAACAACAAAAAATGATGTGATTTAGATTAATTTGTTACTAATTATAAAATTTTTTATCTGCCAATTTATTGATTTGATATTTGGCAGATGGAAAAAAGAGTGAAATAAAGTAACAGATTTTATTTTGCTGGTTTTATCAACAAATTTTTTCTTTTACCTTTTTTTTTTCTTTACAGAATTCTCATCGTGCTGAACAACTATGGGATCTTTTCGTTAGTAGCCGAGCTAAATCAGGAGTAAGTTTACAGTTAAAGTTTAAATAACTTAGTAAAATAAACCTTATTTAACAGAAAATTTATTTTCCAAAGTTTATGATTATTCAATTGCTGCCAACAGCGGATGGAATACATTTTTTGATTGATGACATTTCATCTGTTTGAAAATTTTTGTTGGCATCATCGTTTTTCTAAGATAATAGAATACTGTTGCTGTTACTGCAGAAAAAAAGGCGTCGAGGTTTTGTGCATGTTGTCTAATAGTTTGATCTTGACAAAAACCATAATTTCAATTTATTGGGCAAATCAAGTGCATAACCTTATCTTCACATCAACATCAACTGCAAACTGTTTAGCTGTTGTCGTAGCTGGAACCCAGAATAATAAATGATACAAAAAATTGCAATTATCAGCCATTTCACTTCAAGTTTTACTAAAATTATCTCAACTAATTTTCTGTTACTCTTTCTAGAATCTTTATTACGTCAGTGTTTCTTTTCAATGTTTCATTTTCTTGTTACAGGAAATTCCGTTGGTCATTGCTGCTCGTCTGTTTGATCGGCCGATAAACAAGCTAAGTAAGAAAGAACTTAACGATATTCTACACGGTAGCAAAGAGGGTATGATCGGATGCCATTGGATTTATGCAACTGTAGCACAAAATTAGACAATCATCATCAGAAATAAAAAAGAAAAAAAAAGAGAAAAAAATTTTTTCAACTGTTAATTCTACTGACAATTCTTCTACTGCAACAAATATTCAACTTAAAGAACTGTAGCTTAATTAACTGTATTCATAGCAGCAACAGTATAGCAAACTATCAATTTATGAATATGCTCTTGGAATCTTCTGATATAACACTTTGACTGTACAAAATAGCAAACTTATTACCCACTTACTCATTTAACTTCTTCTTTTTGCTCCTAATTTCTCTTTTTTTTTTGTTTTTTTTTTGTTCCTGTAATTACAGTTAATCACTGTCTGTATTTTGAAGCTCAATTTTTAGTGGTAACCAATCAACAACACTAACAGCCAGTAAAATACAAAGTATAAAGAAATTTAAAAAAAAGAAGAACAAAAAATTAGATTTATTAATTTGTTAGCTTACGAAGACACTTGCTAGTTTAGTAATATTATACTTTTTTCCCTCTGTTAAATATTTTATCCATTTGAATTTTCCTAACTCCTTTTCTTTCCTTCCTTTTTTTTCTTTTTTTTTAAGTCTTGAGTGCTCATATATACATATTTTAACCTTTATAAATTTTGTTCCTCTCTGTGTCAGTTTCTTCTTTTTTGTTTTCGTTTTGCAAGATTGATTAAAATGAAACAGTTTAAGAAAGAGAGAAAAAATGCAGGAAATAGAAAAAAATGACTTGTACTTTACACTTCCATGTCAGTCCACCTCTGTTTCTAAAACTGTACACGAGGCAATAAATGTTGTCAACAAATCTTTTTTTTTTTTTTGTGACAACAAAAAGAACAAGCATTATCCTGCAGAATCAGCTCCCCCCAGATGCCCAATAAAATTTCAGAAAGAAGGCATCAGCAAAGCAAGATACGCTGTCCTTCTGCTTTACCAGCCATTTCGTCCAATACCTTTTAGTGCCCTTGACAGAGCAACAACGGTCTCAGTTTTCGGGAGGTAGACAGATTGATTCATTGATCAATTATTTGACTAACTGATTGAATAAGTGTTACCATCCACTGTTGTTACGGTGAATCAGCCGTTGCCGGTGTCGTCATCAACGACTATTGTTAACTACGAGTCGTCAGTTAAATAAAAAGAGAAAAAAAAACAAGTCGAAGTTTTCGAACAATGCTAATGACAAGAAAAACTGTTACCCCATTAACGTCAATCAAGAGAGAAGCAGCAAAAGCAGGAGATTTTCACAATATGCCTTTTCAATCTGCTTCTGATCTGCTTG